TATGTGGGGAAATTAGAAGAGGGAAAGGAGAATGCATTTTTCAACAGATTTTCAAAAGAGAAGAAGCTCAGGAGCTTTGAACATAAAGCAAATTACTGGATTTTCTTATTGTGAATGTACTGATTAACATAAAAAGCTATTAAAGAATAAATTAGCAATGATGAAATTTCCTTCAGGCATGCCACTGCATTCCTTTACTCTTTATAAAATATTTTTGCCTCTTCACCAATAAGTGAGTGTAGATGGGTTGTGAGTTTTCAATGTTGCATTTACTTTACCTCACTTGGAACAGACTTTGTTTTGATGGAAGAGTGCAGGTTTCAGTAGGGTGCCTAAGGCGGCACTGGGGCTATTGGAAGTGATGGAAACTGCACAGCAGGTATAAAGAAAACAAAACCAAACTGAGGAATTTTACCTACAAAAAAAGAAAAATCATTCTTTGGAAATGAGGAGGAGTAAAAAGGGGTAACATGCAACTTTTGTAAGATTCGGTACATCAGAAAAACACATAACGGAATGTTCAGTCCAGAAAAATAAAATATCTTTATATTCATCGTCCCTCTTGCTGTTTATTCGTGGCTTTTCTCTCTCAGTCCAGTCTGGATGATCAATTTTCACTGATACTACTTCTGGCACATTTCCCCATTAGAGGATGACCATTAGCTCCAGTGCTCCTTACCTTTCCTTATGAACCTTCTTTATCTATCACTATTATACAAAATGACCATTCTTCCTGTCACTCAGGTTTTAGCCATTTCTGTAGTATTGCTTTACACTGTAGGCAATGTCCAAATACTACTACATTTTTTTTAAATTTTCTGGAAGCCTCTTTTCCTTTCCACATGGATAAGTCTTTCTTCTTGTCCTCAGTTGATCAATGCGGGCTGCTTTTCTTTTATGTCTCTGACACTCACATCAGCTTTTCTCCACCTCACTATTACCACAGATGCTGCAAAGATCAAATTAATTAATCTTTCTTCTCCCTGTCATTTTCCACTCTAAATCTTTCCATGGCAGCCAGTTCAAGTTGTTCTTCTTTATCTAAAAGGCCTCTCGCAGGTCTCTGTCTTTTTCACACCTGTTCATGTTTCATTCCCCATTGTGCCTTCCAATATTCTGCTCTAGAGATGGTTCTGGCCTTTGTCCATCTCTTCACTATTCCTTATCTACAGGGGTCTGGTGTTTTCTGGGGTTTTGTGTGCTTTTATTTTTTTTTTTAATGGCTGTCTTGTCTTTGTGATTGCTTCCAAAGAGCTGTCTTTCCATTTGTATGCAAAATGCCTCCGAACTTGCAGTCTCAGTTATATGCTGCCCTTTTATGATTAGCCAAATAATTAAGGATAGATAACGGAGCAGCTGGCACAGATGAAGAGTATGTGTTTTATTAAAAATGCTCAATTTAAGTGTAAGATTGTGAATATATGTATAATGTATACTATACATATATTTAAAGGACATAAATGAATAAATATAGTTATGAAAGACAAATAATACATCCTAGTGTTGCCATGCAATTTGCATTTCATACGTTATTAATAATCTTTAATTATACTGTTCTGGGAAAGCACTGATAAGGGCTGCATATATGATATAGCTTGGGAAGCCATACATGTATAACTTATTATTGTTCTAAGTCAAGTTCTCTAGGCAGATTTGCTTTTGCTGCAAAGTTAATGTGAGAAGTTGATGTGCCCCAATAAGTGTCTTGTTGTTAATAATTTGATTACACATTTTCTTCCTTTGTAAAAAAAAAAAAGCCTTAAAATGTTAACACAACACTTTTCAACTCGGTGAGGAAAAAGCTAGAGTACCTTATCTGCAGATGAAATAAAATCTTGAAAAGACATTCTTATGAAAAGCATATTTCACTAAAAAGAAATATATGATCAATATAATGGTTATCCTGCATATAAGAAGACACACCAAGGAGTACTTCATGGCAATAGCATCAGTGTTGCAGGCTTTGTAGAGAACCATATAATGAAGCAGAAGTAGAGCTTTATTGCAAGCCACTCCTGGTGTATCAGGCATTTATCTCTATGGTTTAACAAGAAAACCTGTATTAACTAACTTGCACCCAATGAAAACTTCAGTTTTTGGCACTCTCATTGGTAGCTCTATGCAATTTAACCTGTGTGTATGAGAATATCTACCTTTTTTATTGTAAGAGCATGTTTTTTAAAAAAAATCAAATATGCTACAGAACACAAAATCTTATGTACCAGGCCAAACCAAAGGTTTTAAAAATCTCTTTAGATAAACATTATATTAAATGGAAAATCTGTTTCCTTGCTTCATCTGTCTCATCCCTTCTGAAAGTCAAGCAGTTCACAGAAGATCTAAGCTGTGTACTCCTAAGTGAAATTTTAAATATCCGTTTATTTTTGCTCCCAACCTCAGTTTTTATGTGGAAGTTGGCATGGCTTTAGCTTCATTCACCTAACCTTGTAAAGGAAAATATTTTGTATTAAGGGTGGTATATCAGCTTGTATTTTTTTCAGCAAGTCTGACAGTGTAATGTCTGTTTTTCTTGGCACATGCAGAAAAGTCATAACCACAAAGGCCATTTCCCCAGTATCTTTTTGAGACAATCATGAGAAAATATCTTGAAAGCATTTACTTTTTTAGTAAATTATTTAGTAAAGTATTAGTTTGGGTTCTTCAAGAGAGCCTAAACTTTTCTTCCTGAGAATTTGGAAATTGTGATGGATTTGGAAATCCTTTGGAAGTCCTCTGTCACTGAAGCACTGAATGATAAAAAAACTATGTGGACATGTAAAAGGAAGCACTTCAAGAGTGAAAGCAGAAAAATAATCATGAGCAACTTTAGCTTTCACTACATATACTGCAAAACTATGTTTTATTTTCTTAGTATATTTTTTGCTACCAGATTTTTCCTTCCGCTCTAACGTGTACTCTCATTTCCACTTTCTAACAGCAAAATAAAGGTAGTCCTTTTTATTATAGCTTCAGTCTGTCCTTCACATATGATTGAATAGACAGTAGAAGCAGTCACAGCAAGTGGTTCATTTGTGATTCTTAAATAGATGTAGTAGCGAAACAAATCAGTAGCATTAGTTCTGTTCTTAAAACCGTTTACAAAATAACTAATCCTTCTCCAATCTCACAAAACCGAGACATTGTAAATAAGTTATTTATTGTTTATTGAAAGTTGACAGCGTGCTTGATGTTGTGTGAGCAAGACTTTCTACCTGCAATCTTTTGCTGAGGGCATGTATTGACCTCACTAATATGCAGAAGGGCTGTTTGCTCACTTCTTGACTGCAGGAACACTTTTTTCACTGGAAGTGAACAACAGAGTTTAAATGTATCTTGTGTCAAAATCAGGAAATCTTCATGCCCCCGAATATGACCAAAATAATGCAGAAGTCATGGGTTTTCACAGATGTTCAAGGCCAAAGCAAGTTTGTGAGTGCTTCCCAGTCCAATAGGATAGAGTATTTGAAGGATTTCAGTAGCTGTCTTGCAAAGTCTAGCAAAGGTTTGAAAGCTCAATTAAATTTGAATGCTATTTATTCACTGATTAAAAAAAAAAAAAAAATAGAAATCCTAGTCTGTAATTAACAGCGTTATTGTGAAAATTGAAGGTTTTATGTTTCCTGTGAGAATTTGCTAAGAAGTATCACACTGAATGCTGAACAACATGTTCTTAGGTTACTCATGGGCTTAATGTATAGCTGATACAATGCTATTCCCATCATCTGTGACTTATATGAGAGGAACAAAATGAACAGGGTGCTTAGCTGCATGGTAAAAGTTTTGGACGCATGGGAAGAACTATAATCAGTGAAATAATGTGGGGTCCCACATACTTGCAAAACTTCAAGGACGCCAGCATTATAAAATGCTGGCATTTGTCTTAACATAAAAAAAAAAAAAAGCTAACGATTTTTTTGTTTGTATTTGAGTAAATATGTATTGCGTTATTAAAAAAATAGGGATTGACAGACAAAAGCACAGTGCAATAATTGTGAATTAAGTCAAAGGACCATATTGAGTGTAGTATTTAAGTCATTCACTCATACCCCATCAGACCCTCTGTTTTAGTAGCTGCTATTTATTTTCTTCGTTATCTCATGTTTTGAAGTAGTTCAGTTACTATGAGTAAGAGTATCCTCAGAAGATATAAATATCTTCTTTTCATTTTTAATGTTATAAAGTCAACAAGAGGAAAAGACTTTCCTTCTTGTAAAAATTATTTTCTTGGCAAACACAGTTGGTTGCTATAATGTAGGAAGAATATATCTCTGATTATTCACTCTGGAAAAAATTTGGATGGTGATTCCAGGTTTTACAGATCAGGGTAATTGCCACATCTCAGTTACGGGGGATGATTGCTAGAATAGTCACATGGGTTTTTGTAATTTGCTGGAGATTTATTCCTCCTAATTTTGAGGGGCATACAATTATTTTAAAAATTATTGCTGCCTAATCTTCAGCATCTTCACTGTTGCAATATCTCTGTCTGGCAAAGTGAGAACAACCTTAGACCCTGAGGAGTTTGGAAGAAAAAAAATACGAAGAAGATAAAAGTACCATATTCATTCACTTCACCTTACTACTCTTTCTGCCAGTTTGAGAAAATTGAGGTCTTACTTTAAAGCCTGTGTTAGAAGTGGTGGCAAAAATAACCCTCCATAATGTATCTATTTGTGTAATTTAGATGTCTGATATTTCAGTAACTCTTGGTGATCCCATCCTATTCTGTTCATGATTCCTGTTCTAACTGATGTAGTTTCCAGCAACTGTGCACAGAGAAGAAAATAGTTTTAGTAGAAAGATAACCATGTTTTTGTTCTTCTTTTTTTGACTTTAAGATAGAGGAAGAGAAGAGCCTGGTTTCTTCCACTTTATTCTTTCTTCTTTGGTTTATTATTTCTTTGAAAGGGTTGCTGTGACTGGCTTGTAAATAAGTGCTAAAGATATTACCACGGGCAGCACAAGAGAGACAGACTGACATGGATCTCGTATTTTTCCAGATGAGGATAGGCATTCACTCAGGATCAGTGCTGGCCGGCGTTGTTGGTGTAAGAATGCCACGTTATTGTCTCTTTGGGAACAATGTCACCCTTGCAAGCAAGTTCGAGTCAGGAAGTCACCCACGCCGCATCAATGTCAGTCCAACCACATACCAGTAAGTCCTCTTAGCCTTCTCATACTGTTTTTATTTCAGCTTGGTTTGAGTTCAGTCTTGCAACATGCTCTGTCCTCAATACGCTAACTTCAACAGAAAGCAATGTACCAGGACAAGTGGAAAGTGGTGTTGCCTGAGGCTGTCAGTCTTTCGTTTGCAGGTTTGCATCAGAATGTGTGAAGAAGTCAGACAGTGGAGGAAGGAAGCACAATGGGAGAGCCAATCATTCCTGCCTTAAATAATATGTAACTGAAGAAATGGGAGACGTCTCCCAAAGCACCATAATTTTATGCACTCTTACAGCTTTAGGCTAAGGATTTCTGTTCCACCTGCTAGACGCAGTTCATGGAGAAAAGCATATTCCCATTGGCTCCGAAGAAAGTCTTTGATTTGGCCACGATGCCCAGCTTTGAAAGAGTTTTTATGCTTTCTTGAAGACAAAATTTCTTATTTAGCACTGTAAAGAGACACTTGATTGAAGCGTTTTCTTAATGTAGGAAGAAAGATTGAAAATGGCAAAGCATTATTCTTAGTTCTTTGAAGAAATTATGCAAATAGAGAGAAGGCTTGATTAAATCTGGTTATGAGGAACAGCTCCTAAATAAAAAAAGTGTTCCTTATTGTTCAAATTTGACAGCTTGACTATTAGAATTTATGCTGCTTGGATTACTACTGACGTACTCACTTTTTTGGCAGGACATCTCAATCTTACTCCCTTTCCAGTGTTCTGTATCTGAAGTAATTTTCTGAAGTACAGTTTGGCTCAGGTTTTGGGACTATTTTTCTGTGGTAAATCTGCATGCAATTACTCAAACAATACTGCTTTTCTTTCTTTTTTTTTTTTTTTCTTGCACAGAACTGTGAATCTCAATATTTACTTTTTCCCCATACCTATCTATGTAAATTAAAGTTCTAAATGGGATTTCTTCATTTAAGAATTGAAGCGTCTTACATGCTAAAATATAAATCATTCAGAAATTAAAGTTAAAAATAATTAAGCCTACTGAAAAAAATTACATTCCTCTGAAGAGCCCATTCACTTGTGATCAGATTTACAGAATGGGGCAAGTGTAGCTAATTGAACAAGAGGCAGAAAAGCTGAATAGACTTTTGATCATAAAGTGAATGGAAGCATATTCATACAGTTGTCTGCTAACATACAAGAGAAACACAGACCCAACCTACTATTTGGTATAGAAAATCTGTTAATTTAAATACAAATAAATATCTAGGAAATTGCTGTTTAGAACTTAGTGTCACTTGAAAATAAATTGTCTTTGGGACCTTCCAGGTTCAGTGTTCTAGTGGCTTTGGTTTCTGGCCTTCTGCTGTGGGATAGGAGAAACCCTCTAAGACTGTGTTTGAAAAGTGAACACAAGGTTGTTGATTAGTTGTGTCCCAGTCTTGAAAACTTATACAGTAGCAGGGCCTTTGGTGTTAATTATATAAATGGAGGTAAGTGATCCTGGAAAAAAGCTACCAAGGCTATGACATGGACCTGAACTTTTCTTGTACAGGAACAGTTCTTATAAACGGATGTTCTCCAACCTGAGAAGGTCTCTGAGATACTCTGAAAGTGCCGTTTATACTTTTTCAGAAAAGGTATCTTGGTGTTTCACAAATGTGGGTCAGGGGTGTGATTCCACTCGAGCAATGGTGTTGTTCAAGTTTGTGTCCCTGAGAGCTGAAATTGATGAGCTAGACAGTTTCATATTAATTTAAGAAAAATACAGTTGGAAATACAATAAGTGAGTATTTGTGGGGCCAGTGATGCACAAAACTCTTTTCTTGGCATGCTGAAGCCAGAGTCACCATCCATGTCCCAGTGCCAGTTCTGCTGGGTTTGGTTATGAGAGTGATATGTCACCTTCTCTGTGAGATAACAGATTTGTGGTCATTGTTGAGCAACCTCACCGAGTTGAAGATACACCTGCTCATTGCCGAGGAGTTGGACTAGATGACCCTTAAAGGTCCCTTCCAACCCAAAGAATTCTATGATTGTATGCTTTGTTTTTGTCACGTTGCTGGTAAAAGTCTGTTCTGAAAGCTAGTTTGAGGGCTTGTACATGGAGTTTGTTAGAAATGTGGTTTATGCTGCCTTTTATCTGACTCCAAGTACACTGTAGCACCGAGAAGACAGCTTCTGTTTGTCTGTGTCTCACCTCTACCTGGCTGCCATTGGTCATACCCTATTGTAACAAGTTAGATGTGGGTAACCTGAGTTTGGAGAGCATTCCTACTAAGACTTAACTAGCACAGTGCAAGTCAGATTTTCTCACCCTGTATATCTTCCAGGTTGTATCATAAAGAAGGCTACAATTTTTTTCACTTCCCTTTAATCCTAGAAATCCAGTAGTAATAGGACTATTTGTTCCAGGATGGTGAAAATTTCACCTTACATGATTATCATGTCTGGGTTTATCTTCCAGAAAGTTACAAATTTAGCCTGTTGCTTTCAAAAAGGGAAGACAGTAGAAATATAACTGATGATGCAATAGTGCTATAACATAAAATTGCAAAAGAAAACACTGCAAAATACAGAATTATTGATATTGTTAGCTGCATTATTGTACCATGTAAAAAATATGCTGTTGTGTGCTGAACAAATTCAGTGGCTGATTCAGAGAACTTCATGTGCAAGTAACAGGCTAGACACATGGTTACAGATAATGGAAGTAGAAACGTCAAGAAAATACATGTTTGAATGAGAGGCAGTTATCATTCAAGATGAATGGCTAAAAGTAATGAAGAAAAGGCAAGGAATGAGTTTATTTTACATGCTTCAGAAATTATATGAAAAAATAAAATTAATGTGCATGAGGTGGCTTAGGCTATTTCAGACCATAACTTCTGGCATGGGACATGAGAACAGACAGGGAAGATGGCAAGAAATGACACTGCCGATATAGGGGTGGGAAGAGACTGCAATTACAAAATACTCTATAGGGCAGGATTATTCAGAACTGCTTAAGGTGATCTAGGAGGTCTGAACATAATATACTGGTACTGTTCAAATAAACAAGTACTCATCTGATGCATCTGTATATAACTTTTCTTAAATATAATTTGCATGAGTATATAATTTACTGTGTGCAAATAAAGTGATTCATCGCAAACTGAAATGTCTTTATAGTTGACCTTATATTCGATCAAATACTTCTATTTGATCATACCATGCTTCTGTGTACTCAGTTAACATTTTTATTATCTAAGAAGCAGTGTTTTCCAAAGTGGATAATTCTGCAATCAGTATGAAAATAACAGAATTTTCAATTAATTAAAACTACTGGCATTTATCATTACATGTTTGTGTCTACCATGCCCCCTGATGAAAATTCTGATACAATTTTTGTGCTTACAAAGCTTGCAGATACCGGAAACATGTCTGATAGTTATCAGCTTTCATTTTACAGTACAGATTATGCATTATAAGGCATCATCGGCATTCAAATGATAATCACACTTCAGAGTGCCTATTATTGGTTTCAGACACTTCCCTGTGAGCCCATAATCTGCCTATGTAAGAATCAGTCTAAAATTATAAATAAAAGATGTGGTGTTGCCTAGCAGCAGCAGTGAACCTGGGGCAGCCTTGCTCCAGTTACACCTGACTGGGCACAGCTCTGTGGTATGAAACAGCACCTTTTACAAAGGTGGCCTTTGAATCTGTTGGGAATAAGATCTCACTCCTGTTCAAAATATCTTGTTCTCTTGACTCAGACAGGTCTTTTGACTGAAGGATTACAGAGCCCCATTTGCTTTGAATAACAGCATCGTAAAATGAAAGCACTGGAACAGCACTTGTAAAACTTCCAGTGAAACGTGGAAACTGGAGAGGGACTAGAGGATCCCAGACTGGTACCTGTTTAAACATATGGCCAGAAAGGAATAGAAGAGGAACACATTCTCTGTTCCTTTAGTAAACTGGCAAATCCAGCTCAAGGTTTCTTTAATTCATCTACATTATCCTGAATTGAATAAAATTACCCCATTTTCCTTACTCAAGAAGGTAGCACAATGAGATTTATGAGACTCTTCTTCAGCACAGAAGAGAGATAAAATATTTTTTAATTCTTTGTTTCAGTCTTGAATAATGTTGTTTATCAGATATTAATATAATATTACCTACATTCATTCTGTTTCCCTAATAGTATTACAATATAATGCCTTGGGATCTCTAAGCAGTTATCAAAAGCAGGTAAACATAATTGTTGCTATTTGTCAAGTAACTGTATTTAAAAATGAATTATCTTTTTCCTCTTCTTTGCACTTCGGGTCTTTTACAGCATGTATTTTCCTTGTGGAGAAGGTGCTTCTGACATCAAGTATCAGGTACAGATACTTTCCATTATCAGATGCTGGGCAATACTTCTGGGACCTAAGCTTAGGCAAAGATGAACAGCCTGTATCCCACATCCTTATCTAATTTAGGAGAGAGAGCAATCAAGCGTACCTCCTTAAAGAGCTGAGTGAGGTCACTGCTGGTTCACCTGCCTAAATTGCCCCTCAGCCTTTAAAATTGATTAAAACGTGAAGAATTTGAGTAGGTTTTTAACATTTATCTCACAGAATGTTGTATGAAAGGTTTACCTTTAGGTAATTAAGAAGGATGTATTTACATCTCTCTGTTGGGATTTAAAATTAAAACTATGCATTTCTATGAACTCCTTATAGATTTTTATTTTAATAAAATTATCTTTCCTACAGGTTATATCTATGTATATGTATTATTTTTCCCAGAGGTTATATCTATATCTACATCTATGTCTATATATGTATCTGTGTCTGTATTTTCCTGCCTCATATCAACAAATGTATAGATCTGCTCTCCAGGAATTTTTCAGATTATTTTAATTTTTATTTTTGAGCATCCTTTAAACAGCTATTTTTATATTGGTCAATTCACTGTGTATGCTTTCATGAGACTTACTGGTGGACAGGAAATTTAGTTATGGATGGAGACGGAACACAGCTTATAAACGGACACAAAAAGTTACTCT